CCCACTAACTCCTTTATTGCAGAAAACACAGCTAAGGACCCATGAACACTGAAATAATAAATGTATGTTGTTCTGAGATGCTAAGTTTGTGGTAATTTGTTATGCATCATAGAAAATGGATATGCTTGTCGTCAGCATTACTATTCATGTCTTGGGCATAAGAGAGTTGGGCTGTACAGGGAGAGGGCACCATCCTTTAAAATTCTCTCCTCTGCTTTTCGCCTGTGGCTTCCATAGCATCCCTGATGCTCCTTGCCCATGCAGGTTAATGAACTTTGATTGGTGAGAGGTAGAAAACATCACCACAGTGGGCCACATATCAGCTTCTGAGCCAGAATAAACTGCCTCCTTGAAAACAGACACATTGAAAACCAGTACTGTTTGTGTTGTGTATTACTGCAATACTTATTAACCGCTCTGCTGATTCATTCTATGACAAAGCATCTGAATCAGGCATTAGTGGATCGTCTCTGTTATTGTCAGAGAGCCATTTGCCTCAGGATAAAGAATGTCTGTTAATATTCTGGGCACGCTTGAGACTCTCAACTAAGAGGCCAACACTGCCCTCTCATTAGTACTTTGTGGGTGTTAAGACCTTCATTAAGATTCCACTTCCTTTAATGTGGTCACCTTGGCATGTTTCCTGAATGACCTTAGTGACTTAGGAAGGATTGTTTTTTCCAAATAATAGGCAAGAATGCAGAAAGTAATTGGATTTGGCATACCCCGTAACATCTCATTGGATTGCTTTTAGAAGAACTCTTAAAGAAAGGCTTTATTTAAAACAGAACAAAGAGGAAGATTTGGCTGGACACTGATGAGCTTCTCTATGAGATTCAATGACTAATGCTGCATGTCAACACCAGGCATCCATGTATATGGATATTATGACACCAATGTGTATAGACTTCATAATACTGAGGGAGGAGGGGAAAGCAGTTTCCCCTTCCACCCTATTGCAGAAAGTTAGTAGGAATATACTGTAGTGAGAATCCAGGAGGCTGCATGGATTCTACATTAGTTGATGGACAAATGAGCATAAAACTTCAGTTTCTGGGATGATTTTGGATTTTAGAGATGCCCTCAGGCAACAGCACTGGACCTGACCTAAAACAGGCTTTCTTAACCCCAGCACTATTGACCTATTGACATTTGGGGCAGAAAAATTCGGCATGTGTGTGTGTGTGTCTGTGTGTGTGTGTGAGAGAGAGAGAGAGAGAGAGAGAGAGAGAGAGAGAGAGAGAGAGAGAGAGAGAGAGACAGAGAGAGACAGAGAGAGAGAGATATTGAAGAGTACTGTCCTGTGCATTATAAGATGTTCAGCAGCAGCCCTGGCCTGTACCCAGTAGATGCTCTATTCCAGGACCCCCACAAGTTTGACAACCAAAAATGTCTCCAGATGTTGTCAAATGTACCCTGTGGGCAAAATCACAGTTGAGAACCACTGCTCTAAAATAAGCATTTAGTTTTCTGCCCAATGTCTGTTTCTTGTGATGCTTTAATTTTCTCAACTCAGTTTAACCAAAGTGGTTAACAACAGACATGGGGGTGGGGGAGGGGCAGGTAGGGGGTGGAGTGAATGGAACATTTGTTTTTCTTTGTCTATGCAGATACATACAGCGGCTATGATATGTAAAAATTAGGTCTTAAAGGGTTTCCAGGACTGTGTGTCTGCTCCTGAGGTTTGTTTTAAGTATTTGTGTCCTTTGCCTGTATTTTGTATTAAAAATTAGAAAAACAACACGTGTTTTTTTTCTTTTGTTTTCTAAAATATATTTTATTGATCTTTTACAGAGAGGAAGGGAGAAGGATAGAGAGTTAGAAACATCGATCAGCTGCCTCCTGCACACCCCCTACTGGGGATGTGCCCACAACCAAGGCACATGACCTTGACCGGAATCGAACCTGGGACCCTTGAGTCCGCAGGCCGACGCTCTATCCACTGAGCCAAACCAGTCAGGGCAACAACACGTTTTTTGAGTATGTTAGCATTGTCCCTTTATTTTTATATTTTTAAGCAAGTTCTTTTTCTGAATCTATAGGCTGTTCCAAAAAATGTATACACACTTTAACAGCTGATAGCTCAATTGATGTTTCTTTCTTTTCATATTTAACCCATTGGAATTAATAATTATTCAAAGAGTATATACATTTTTTGGGACACCCTGTATTTTTCTTTTGTAAACTTCTTTTGGTTTTGTTTAAAAGTGGCTTTATTAAGGGCTTATATACTATCCTAAAACCAGAGTGTTTGTTTGCTTATTTTAGAGCAGTGGTTCTCAACTGTTATTCAGGTTTTAGGGATTTTTTGCATCCTTATTTTAATATTGGCTTGTATAATGACCTGGGAGTTCCTATCTATTACTACCAAAAAATTAATAAAGTTATGTTGAAAATCCAGAAGTAAGTGGGCAAGTCTGGTTTCCTGTTCTGATATTTTTCTGTCTCTTTTCTAAAACCCACACTCCTATGGGGACCATCCTTACAATGTTCAATCTAATTCTAACCTTTGTATAGAAGAAACGCGATCAAGAGCATCATTGCTTGAGTTGCCACTGCACAAAAAAACAGGGGATTGAATTGTCATTGAACCAATTAGTTTCTGCCAATAATTGGAAAGAGCATCAATTATCAACAAATAAAATGCTTGAGTACTAGTAGAGAGGAGACTTAAAAACTGAAAAGCAAGATCTGAAATTTCATCAATTTGCCCATGGATATTCAGCTAATGATTTGCTATGAGAGGTAATTCTCAATTCTTCAAAGCACTGTAAATGATCAAAAGGATAGTGCTCTGGAGGAGGGTGAAGCACCATGTGCTAAATGAAGAAACCAGCCTGGCTAGGCTAGCAAATGAAAGTAAAAGGTCGAATCCATTTACAGAACTTAGTTTCCTGCTGTTCATTCTATGTTACCCAAGCTTCCTGATAGCAATGAAATTATCTTTAAGTGAAAGACCAACACTTGGGAGAGAAATTGAGCACGGAAAATCAATACTAAGTTTCAGTGGTTCCTGACCAGAACATTAAACTCCTTTTTATAGAGAGAGAGAGAGAGAGAGAGAGAGAGAGAGAGAGAGAGAGAGAGAGAGAGATATAAGTGACTCAGTCCTGTCTCCCTGGTTAGTGGGTAACTTCACAGACAAGATTAGATTTTGGTTTCTTTAAAAACTATAAAGATCATATAACAGAGAGGCTAGCTTTTTTTCAATGGTGTCAATACTGATTTGAGAATTGGCATTTTTATTAGCTACTAACTTGTTCTATGAAAATAAAGATAAAAAGAATTATTTGGGCTGCAGCCTTTTGGAAACAGAACACTTGTCAATAATGTCAGAAAACACTAGCAGAGAAGGACAGAAATGACCCCCTGATCTTTTCTCATGAGGTGTGCTTTGAATCTGATGTTAAATATGAGAGAAATGAATCTAGTATAGTTTGGAAAGGGTTTTATTTTATTCAATCTTGTGAGAATGTGATCTTGATCATTTTTCTTCCTCAAAATTGCTGAAGATCAGTTTTATAACTTGTACATATCCATATATTATTTACATGTATATATTTGTATGCATGTATATATCTGTATGTATATGACTGTATAGCAAAGGTTGGCAAACTATGGTCTGAGAGTCAAATACAGTCTGATGCCTGTTTTTGTAAATAAATTTTTATTGGAATAGCCATATATTCTTATGCGTTCATGTATTGTCTGTGGTTTTTTCATGCTACAATGACAGAATTGAGTAAGTTTGACAGACTGTTTGACCCTTTACAGAAAAGCATCCACTGATCCTTGTTCTAGAGCCAGACATTTCTACTTGGCACATGCTGGAATAATAAAGAAGAAATATTTGCTTTTTTAAAGCTTTGTAATGTTTTAAATATTTCAATTATGTAACATTTTATATATTTGAAGGTAGGTTATTATTCTGTCTTCTAATTTTTGAAGTTGGATGCTTTGGCTATTTTGCTTAGTTATTTATTTATGTACTTATTTAATTACAGCTGAAGTTCAATATTATATTAGTTTCAGGTATACAACATAGTGATTAAACATTTCTATAACTTATGAAGTGATCACCCCCATAAGTCTAGTACCTACCTGTGCTGTACTTTACATCCCCATAACTATTTTTATAACTGATAGTTTGTATTTCTTAATCCCCTTCATCTTTTTCCCCATCCTTCCTCCTCCATCCTTTCTGGCAGCTATCAGTTTGTTCTCAGCAATGAATTTGTTTCTGTTTTGTTTTGTTTGTTCAGTTATTGCACGTTTTAGACTCCACATGTAAGTGAAACCATGCTGTATTTTTCATTCTCTGTCTGACTTATTTTACTTAGCATGATACCCTCTAAGTCCATCCATATTGTTGCAAATGACAAGATTTCATTCTTGTTTTTATTGCTGCATAATTTGTATCCATTCATCTATGGATGGACACTTACAATATCCTGGGTATTGTAGATAACTGCAATGAACATAGGAGTGCATATATCTTTTCGAATTAGTGCTTTTGTTGTCTTCAGAAAAGGACCCCAAAGTGGAATTGCTGTGTCATATGGTAGCTCTATTTTTAATTTTCTGAGGAACTTCCATACTGCATCATTTTACAATCCCACCAACAGTGCACAAGGATTCCCTTTTCTCCATATTCTCGCCAACATTTGTTATTTGTTGACTTTTAGATAATAACCTTTCTAATAAGTGTGAAGTGATAGCTCTGTGGTTTTGATTTGCATTTCCCTGATTATTAGTGATGTTGAGCATCTTTTCATATGTCTGTTGGCCATCTATATGGCTTCTTTGGAGAAATATCTATTCAGGTCCTCTGCCCATTTTTTAACCAGATTTTTTTTATGTGGTGTTACATGAGTTCTTTATATATTTTGGATATTAACCCCTTACCAGAGATATCATTTGTAAATATCTTCTACCCTCCAGTAGGTTCTGTTTTTGTTTTGTTGATGGCTTCCTTTGCAGTGCAAAAGCTTTTTAGTTTTATACTTTGTTAATGCTTCATAAATTCACATATCATCTTTGTGCAGAGGCCATGCTAACCTCTGTATTGTTCCATTTTTAGTATATGTGCTGCCAAAGAAAGCACAAGAGGATAAATATTTTTATTAAAAATCTACTTATGGAGCATATGCTATGCAAAGAAGTTACTTGTTGACATGGAGGTAAAAATGTGTGGGAAAATGTGAAGAAACTGAAGAAGAGAAGTTTTGAATGTTATTAGAGGCCTCTAAAGGGATGGAGAGAGAAGTAGTATCGAGTTGTCAACCTGGAATTAGTCAAAACTTTACCAAAATGCCTCTGTAAGTGCATAGATCAGAAGATTCAATATAATAAAATTAAATAAATTAAACAATTATTATGTAGTAGGCACTGTGCCAAGCCACAGAGGGTACAAGATGGATGACTCACGGGCCCACCACATGAACTAAGAAATATTTTTGTTGGGTTTCATTCTCCAGAGCAGTCGCTGGTTAGAACACCGATCAATTGCACATTGAACTGATACATTGTGCAAAAGAAGGGGAAAAATGATAAAAATTGAACTCCTTATCTTTCCCTCCAAACCTGTTTTTCTTCATGTACTCTCAGTTTGGGGAGAGACTTCACCACCCAGCTGACCAACTGGATTGTCAACTTGTCTGCTTTCTCTCTCATATGCTAGAATTTGCTTCCCACTTTGTCTCACCTGGCTCACTGAGTTCACCATCTCCACTCGGAGGATTCCCAGACCTCATCTCTTTTTTCCACACCAGCACAGTTTGGGTTATGTATTTGCCATGTACGTTCCCATAGATCCAAGTGCATACTTCCCATGACAGGGCTCTTGCCGCCATGTTTTAATAGTTTCTGTACCTGTGAAGAGGCCATTTCATATCACATAAAACTAGGAAATGTTTATATGGAGCATGAGTAAGTGGATGTGTTCAGAGGGTAAATCCACATTTTCCAGCTGCCCCAGAGTCAATGCATATGTGAATATATTATATATATATATTATAATATATATAATTATATATTATATAATATATAATATATATATTAATATATATTATATAATAATTATATAATATATATAATTATATATTCACATATTAATTAATTACTTCTACTAATACTTATTAAGCATTCTCTTCATGCTGGACACTGATATATAACAGTGGGGGATATAACAGTGAACAAGGCGGAAAAAGTCCATGTCCATGCAAGTTGCATTCTAGTGAGGACAGACAGATAACTAAGATTTTCAAGCCAACCTCACCACCACCACTGCCATTTTGAAGATGAAATAAAACTGAGACCTATTGCCTACTTTAAACTCTTATTGGAACCATTAAACCTTTATCATGTTAGAAAACATTGTAAACAGGTAGGCTTTCTAAGCTGTCACACAATTAATAAACTTTACAAAAGAATATAGTAATATTTGAAAATCATGGGAGGAAAAACAACCATAAATATATAAGGTGAGGTAATGACAAGTGTTATGAAAAGAAAAAGCAGGAAGAGATGGGGTCTGAGTGGGTAGCTGGTGGCTGTTTTTGGTAAGGTTGTCAAGGACAACATCTCTGAAGGCATGATGCTTGGCATTAGCAGAGACAGGATAAAAACGAGTGTAGTGGGGTGGCAAGAGAAGAATGAGGAAGAGTCAGAGAGAAAGGAAAGGGTCAAATTATGTAAACTGTCCAGCCTTGGGAAGGAGTTTGGATTTTATTTTGAATATGACAGGGTAAGCCATTGGAGAGTTATGAGCAGGAGAGTGACATGATCTGATCTGGTTTTACAAAGTTATCTAAGGCTGCTCTGTGGAGAACAGACCAAGGATCTGTAAGAAAAGAAAAGTAGAAAGATGAACTTGGACAATGATGTTGGCAGTGGTAGCAGTGAGGAGTGGTCAGATGTGAGATTTGCTTTGAAGGTAGAGCTGCCACGATTATTGAAGAATTGATTGTGGGGATGAGGAAAACAAAGGGGCCAATCATGGATGATTCCAAGGGTTTGGTCTGAATAACTGGATGTATAAAGTGGTTATTTACACACACACGCACACACACGCGCACACACACACACACACACACACACACCCTATACAATGTCATTGTGCCAATTTGCCTAAATGAAAACTACTTATTAAAGAATTTAAATAATATTATACATAAATTCTCCAATAAAGGTAAAAGTTTCCTCAAGTCACTTGGCTTTTATTTTATAAAATAAAAGTGTCTAAAGAAAGTTGGCCCTTAGACCTTTCTTTTAATCTAATTTAATATCCTCCTATCATAGATGAAGGGAACAGAGACCCAGAGAAAGGCTCAGAGGCTCATGCTAGAACAAAGAGTCAATGCATGCCAGAACAAGCAGCAGAAAACCCTTCTTGTGATTCCTTTACAAATTCAGGCATAAATCAGCTTGCCTTGTATAAAAAGCTCTATTTTCTTTTTGTGTCTATGTAAAATAAAGTTTGATGCCCAACATGAGAATTCAATTTTTGGGAAATGTTTCAAAGTAGTGACTTAATAATTTAACATTTTTCTCAACACTCATATACATACATTTTAAGATGTCCATGGCCCCAGGCCTGCTGAGATTGCACACTCAATTTCACTTCTCCTCCAAAAAGCAGGTAAAATCTAATCACACCTATTTTGTTTTTAAATTCCACTTTCTTGACTACTCTTAGTTATTCTATATGGAAATAATCTACTGAATCTAATGAACAAAATAAACAAACAAATAGAAACAAACTCATAGAAACCAAAAACCGACTGGTAGCTGTCAGAGGGGTGGGGTGTTGAGGGGCTGGATGAAACAGGTGAAGGGATTAAACAAAAACAAAAACAAAAACAAAACAAACCTTATAGACACAGACAATAGTATGGTGATTACCAGAGGGAAAAGGGCTTGGAGGGAGGTGGAAGAGTGTAATTGGGGGATAAATGGTGATAGAAGGAGACTTGATTTGGGGTGGTGGACACACAATACAATACACAGATGATGTATCATATTATTGTACACCTGAAACCTATATAATTTTGTTAACTAATGTAACCCCCAATAAATTCAATAAAAATTTTTAAAAATAAATAAAAATACAGAATTAATTTTAAATCGCATATACAAACTTTTCCTCTTTAAAATACCTTTTGCCTTAAGTTTGTAATCTTCAGCACACAGAACAAAATGCACTTGAATATATTAAATTTTCTTTCCTCAGAGATGAAAGAAAAAAGAAAGTTTAACTATGAAGGGTTTTTTTGTGTGCTAAAGTGAACATAATGTAATCTTATTAATAATTTTCTTCTTTGCCACTCAGCATATCTTTTGATACTGAACAGTCTTTTATGGTATTTTTCATCTCATAAATTTATAATATTACTGTATTCTTTAATGTGAAGTTTATTAATTGTATAACAGCTTTAAAAAGTCTCCCTTTTTATAACATTTCCTATCATGAATAAAAGTTTAGTGATTCAAGTAATGCACTGCAAAATGGCAGGTGATAGTGAGGTTAATTTTTAAAATCTTTAAGATTGTTTCTTAAAGAAAGAAGGCATTATGAATCTCATCGCCATGACATTCGGGTTATCCTTCTAGGCTAGATTGAATATTATTTGGTACTAAAATGTAAATGTCTTTAATTGTGGCATTTATGGGATGCCCCCTCCCAAATTAATACAGTTCTTATTGCACTGAATTAATATAGCATTCAATTCTTATTTCTCTAGGATTACAAAGAACCATTGAAGGGAGTTTGGGTAGAGAGATAAAGAACTGTACCAAATTCACAATGTTGTAATGTTTACTTTCCACATAGATCCAAAATAATGTTTTTAGTTTCATTGAACTACTAAAAAATGCAAATGAAAAATACAGTGGCCCTGCCTGGTGTGTCTCAGTTGGTTGGAGTATTGACCCTTGCACCAAAAGTTGGAGGTTCCATTCCTGGTCAGGGCACATGCCCAGGTTGCAGGTTCCATCCCCAGTTGGGGCACATGCAGGAGGCACCCCAGAGCCATATCTTCCTCTTTTGCATTATGAGGAGTTGGAAGAGAGGTCTCAATCAGCTTTGAAATTTTGCAGTTCAATACTTCTACCTCTACCACTGTAACTCCGATGACTTTGTGAAAATACTAGGCTTTATTACATTTTAACTAATACTATTATCTATTGTCTTTCAAATGTTAGAGCTTGATTGTGTTTGTAAATAAATAACATTACGTTTAGCTAGGTGTGGCCCAGTGGTTGAGCCTCAACCTAGGAACCAAGAGGTCATGGGTTTGATTCCTGGTCAGGGCACATGCCCGGGTTGTGGTCTCAATCCCCTGTGTGGGGCATGCAGGAGGCAGCCGATCCATGATTCTCTCTCATCATTGATGTTTCTTTCTCTCTCCCTTTCTCTCTAAAACCAATAAAAAATATTTAAAAATAAATAAATCCTATATCAGTGATTGTGTATATGTACCACCAGTCAGAGGTGACACGTGAACTCATTTTTTTGGCTGATTTTTCTTTGTTACATGGCATTTAAATATATAAAATAAATATAAATATCAAAAATATAAGTCTTTGTTTTACTATGGTTGCAAAGATCAAAAAATTTCTATATGTGACACGACACCAGAGTTAAGTTACGGTTTTTTCAAAATGCCGACACGCCGAGCTCAAAAGGTTCGCCATCACTGTCCTATATAATAAAGAGCTAATATGCTAATGGTCATGATGCCATCACGCCGTAATGACCGATCAGCAGGAGGCTGCATGCGCAGTGAGGCGCGGGTGGCTGCACAAGGAGGCGGGAGCCAGGGTGCCTCCTCGAACGATTTCAATCGCGCACTGGGCCTCTAGTAAATAAATAAAATCACTAGTTAAGTGGTTTTATACCATTGTTGACAGTAGTTGAGTGTGGCTTGCCCTCAGGAGTAATCATTCTTTGATAATATGGACAATGAAAGATGTATAAGGACTCAGGAGTTCTTATTCTCATGTGCCTATGATCTTTTCATATTCCCCTTGTAGTTCAACATGCTGTTCCCTTTGCGGAATTTCTCCTTCCACCACCATCACTCTGTGAATTCTGTAGGATTTTCT